GAATGAAATTTCATGGGGTGGGGTTTTTGGACATTCTGGGTTGATTGGAGAGGTCAAGTCAGATTGGTCCGACCGGGCCCGGATTGGGCAGATCTGGAAAGGGTTCAATTTGGTCGATCTAAGGGCTTGAAATGGAATCTTTGTGTGATGAAGGGGAAAATAAAGGCAGGTTTGGGTGAAATTTCTCTAGGTAGGGTTTTTTGGGTAGTTTGAGATGATTGGTACAATCAGATTGAGTCAACTGGGCCAGGATCGGACAGATATGTAATCCGGTCAATCTGGAACCTTGAAACGAAATCTTGGTATGATTAAGGGTAAATGGAGGTGTTTTGGGGTGAAATTTTACAGGTGGGTATTTAGAGGTGTCTGCGATCTGATGATGGGGTCTGATTAGTCTTAGAGGGTCAAGATCGTAGGAATTTGGGTCAATGGAATGTTTCGAAATGGAATCTTGGTTTAATGAAGGAACAAATGAGGGAATCYAGGGATGAAACTTCATGAGAAGGTGTTTTGGTGTGTCTAGAGGCAAAGTGTGGTCTGATCGGTTCGGGTGTGTCAAGATAAGGGTAATCTAGGTTCTGAGTGTTTAGGCTAATAAGGGAGGTCAAAATGGAATCTTCGTTTGATGAGGGGGTAAACAGGGGAATCTTGAGTTGAAATTTTATGGGCAGGTGCTTTGGGAGATCCCGGGTCTGATGGTTGTGTCTGATCTAATGGTTGAGGTGTGAGTGGGGTTGATTAGGGCCATCATAAAGGTAACAGGTAGGTTTAACAGTGGATCTGAGGGCTCTCGGGGTGAAACTTGGGTCTTCTGGGTTTTGGGGTGCTTCGAAGAGGTCGTAAGGGTTTGATCAAGGATTTGGGGTGAATCGGAGGTTCGGACGGCAAACCGAGCAAAAATCGGATGCTAACACCTAGTAAAGTCAAACTCTGGGTTTAAGCCAGCCAAGAAATGAAAGACTATTCTTGTCTATGTACTTTCATTATTCTTGTCTATGTACTTGGGTCTTCTGGGTTTTTGGGTGCTTCGGAGAGGTCGTAAGGGTTTGATCAGGGATTTGGGGCAAATCAGAGGTTTAGGCGACAAACTGAGCAAAAATCGGGTGCTAACACCTAGTAAAGTCAAACTCTGGGTTTAAGCCAGCCAAGAAATGAAAGACTATTCTTGTCTATGTACTTTCATTATTTATCACCATCTTCAGGATCCATCTACCAAAGCTTTCAAGTGATCCATTTCTTCCCAAATTTCCCAAATATAATGTAGAGAAGAAAAATACATAGCCACAGATCTCTCCCCCTGAAGTATACTACAAGCCTCCCTCCAAAGCTAGAACACTCTAGCAGTATTGATAACTTGGGAATAGGTAACAACAACCCTATCCCAAATAGTGTCACCTGAGGCACAAGGCGAGGTGTTTTTGAGAGCAGGCGCCTCACCTGGGTCGAGGCAGCGACACTTTAGTAAGGTGCTCGCCTTTGCGCCTAAGGCGTGCACCTCAGAGCAAGTGCCAGACGGTCCAGGCGCGCACCTATGTTTGGTTGCCCTTTGTTTTTTTATTTGTTGTTAAATTGACTTTTATAGATAGATTATAATCATATATGTATATACGAAAGAAAGAATTCACGACCCTCTCAAGAGAAAAAACTTGCTATGCAAGGCTTCTCAGGCTCCCAGTATCAGTCGAAGTCTCGAGCCCTCAGCCCCCACGTTCTTCTTTCTTCTTTCTTCTTTCCACAGTATCAGTTGAAGTCTCGAGCTCCTCCTCCGCCCCCACTATTCCACAATATTTTTTTTTATCAGCAGCAAATATTAGTTTGGAAACAGTAAAATAGGGCTCAACCCCTTTCTATTTTTTCTATTTTTTAGTTTTTTTTTTAATTTTGTGCGCCTTTTCTTAAAAAGGCGCGCGCCTTGCCTTGTGACTCAGGCGCATTTGGAACCTGTCGCTTTTTGTGCGCCTTTCGCTTTTAAAACACTGATCCCAAATATCTTTATCAATTGGAAGAAACATGTAGTTCCGGGCAATATGAGATTGCATTGAGCAAATCAACCATGACATTACAAAGGAGTTATCCTACTCCCACTTTGTAAATTTCAGATCTTTAGTATTTGGCTTCATTTCCTTTCCTATAATGAATCCCTGTTTACCTCTCCCTGTGATGGTAGCGTTGCAGATAGGGACCACTCTAGAAAGTTAGTTCCGTCAAGTTTAACAGTGGTTATCATACCACCGGAGATATTTTCTTTTCCTGGGAGCATGTTGGAAACCATCTATACATCCTTGGATGCTTCCATATTCAATCAAACCACTTTCTCATCAACCAAAAAGACCTCCAATACTCAACCAAACTAAAAGACCCAAGAAAATAGATCACCACATGATCAAGAGACACAAGGAGGCCAAAAAACTAGGTTGGCGACAAAATAAAAGGAGTTGAAATTCTCCCAAAAATTGTATAGGGCTTAGAAAATTACGGGACCACTTCCCTTCACTTCAAACATGTAAAATTACCCAAATGGTCTAGGTTTTGCAGTAGAAAACCCCATTAAACTTGTTGTATGAGGCTCGACATCAAATCTGGAATTTCTGCAATTTTATCCTTGAAAAATCAACAAAAAATCATAGAAACTTCAAACCAACACGAGAGTCATACCAAAAAAATCAGGGTGAATCATACCATGTAAGATTCATTGACTGCCACCGTCACCTGAACAGATTGCTGACACCATCCATTGGCAATCTGATGTCAGCAAATCATCTCACAGGAGAGGATCAGTGGAAGAAGGGTTGGGTTCCTAAGAGCCTCTACCTTGCTCTGATACCAAGTTGTTGTTCTAGGGTTTGTAAAAGAAGAGGAGAGAAGGAGGAGAAGGAGAAGAAGAGAAGAAGGATGTATCGAAGAGAGGAGTGTGTGTTACTATTCACACCCTCAAAAATGTTATTTATACTTTGAAGAAAAATTACAAGAAATCCCATACTTGGGCGCCCAAATACAAAAGATGATGAAAGGAGTAAAACACCTGTGTCCAAGCTTCTCAACACATTCAATTAAATTGCCACACAAGAACTGATTACTAACAGTCCCTCTTCAATGCATCAAATAGAGGGTTTCTAGAACTCCATTGAAACAACAACTACAACAGCCATTGGAGGCATGAAAACCTCCTTTACAGAGAAATAATCACTCCTTTGTGGCCTCTCCCCAATCCACCAAGCGATCATTGAGATATCTTCAATATCGTATGATGGAAGGCGTTAAAAAAAGAAGAGGAAGGGTTGGCTATCAATGCTCTGATACCATGTTATCAGTTCGGGTAGCATTGAATTCAGTCCAAGACTAAACAGGAAAGAAGAGAAAAGAAAGAGAGGAAGAGAGAAAGAGAAAAAGAGAGAAAGAAAGAAGAAAGAGAAAAAATTGAAAGGAATGGTCTCAACTTGAGAGAATTGACTTAGCTCTCTCAGCCAACCAGAACTATATTTATATGTTTGTAATCCACAGGTACAAAGACTCTTATGCCCCTAATTATGTATGGTACACACTACTTAAACAAAATAGACAAAACACCTTTTATAAAATAAATGTAAAAGGATTAGAATACCCTTGTCTGTCAATTCTAACAACTTTGACCAGGATGCTTTTCTTTTGAAAGTTCTTGAGCCCTTTAGGCTTTTACTTTGGACCCCTCTTTGTCGGGTTCTAGAATGTGGACCCCTAACCCAAAAGGTGTATTCACTTGTGCCTCTTTCTTCTCCTCCTTGTTCTCAAACTCTTCACCCCCAAGGTTAGTGCTCTTTGTTGGGAAGTCTACCATGGAAAGTTAAATACCTTGGACACCTTACAAATTAGAAGGCCTAAGATTTGCTTATCCCCTAATTGGTGTATCCATTGTAAAGCTAGTGGAGACGGCTGTTATCATTTGTTTGTCTCTTGCCAAGTGGTTGAAAGTCTTTGGGAAAAGCTATTGGAAATTTTTGGGTGTAGATTGTCAGCACCTGTGCAAGTCAATGGCCTTTTCGACCCTTCTTTCTTCAGCTGGTCTAAGCAAAGGGGTAGAATTTTGTGGAGGTGTGCAAGAGCTGCGCTGATTTGAACCATTTGGGAAGAAAGGAATGCTAGAATTTTCAATGATAAAGAAAGAAACTTGGAGGCTCTGTGGGATTGTCTCAAAACTAAGGCTATACATTGGATTAAGACCTTAAAGTTGTTCTCTCCCGTCTCCTTTGGTGATATTTCGTGGAATTGGGGAGCTATGGAACACTCTTCAGATGCTAAAGCCAAGCCTAATCCAGCATGGGTTCCACCTAAATAATGGTTCCTAAAACTTAACTTTGATGGCAACAGGCAATCCAGGGCCCTCAGGTGTAGGGGGAGTGCTAAGGGATGAAGGTGGCAAGACAGGCAATCCAAGCCATTCTGCAGAGGGTGCAGCTTGCAAGACAGCTATATGTGGACAGATTGATAATTCTAAGCTGGTAGTTGGGGGGATAATAGATCCAGACTCTGTTATTTGGACCTACGGGGAAGCTGTGAAGAAGTTCAAATGGTTAACCTCTAATATGATTGTAAGGATTCAGTGGCAAAGGAGGGTGGCTAATGGTTTAGCAAATTCTTTAGCTAAGAAAGGGGTATTTCGGGAATCTATGTTTTGGGCTCATCTGAAAGCTGATTTGTACCTGAGGCTGCATCTCACAGCTCTTTTGAGATGCTTGTCTGTACACTTTCCTTAGCAAATTGTCTCTGTACACTTTTTGGTTTAATTTCTTAATAAAATCTCATTTGCTTATCAACAAAAAAAATGTTATCGATAACTGTTCTCCTTGCAGGGAAAATTGTCCTATTTTATCCACTTGTAAAATCATTAAATGTACCTTTCTTCTTTACAGAATGTTGCTACTGTAGACTTTAAATTGTACATAGTATTAATAACCAAGGACAGAGAAGACAGCTAGAATTTCTATGCTTTCTTGTATAAGTAATCTACTCGTTAATCCATTTACCACTCATTATTGCTTGCTTCTTGGCATCATATGCAGCATTAAAAAGCCTCTCACGTAGAGCCCCAGATGCCTTCACAGCATTTATAATACTGCAGCAATTAAGATTGTAATTGCAGACTCAGTGAAAAAAAAAATGAAAGACCTTGCAAAATGTAAGTTGGGTTTACGCCACTAATCAAAAAAAAAGTTGGGTTTACCCAGCATAGATTCTGTTATACAGTCGAGGAACACTGCAAAATATTGTTGGTCTTAGAACCGCCATGTCATCCATCAACTTTAAATTGTCCTGTACACAAATCCCATTATTTAGCATATAAATGTTGTACAAGAAAAAGTTCAACCTTTCCTTAAAAAGTTTGGACTTGGACCACATTATAGTGTGGTTGTTGCAATATGAAGGTGCAATTCTTACATTAACATAGCAAACACGCTTCAGAATACATAGTTAACTTGTTATAGATGGAAGCCATATCTGGGAGAATTAAAGAAACAAAAAACAAAAAGATCTACTTATCCTAAGAAAAAGTTTGTAAACATTATACTGGTTAAATATTTCTACAAAGTCAGTGCTCATAAACATGTTAACTTTTATGAATGATTGTATTGGCAATTCAAGTTTAACTATTCTGTCATTCTACACAGCAAGTGAAGGTAGATGATGTAGTAGATCACATCATGCATATACATTTCAGAATATTCAAACAGTGTGCAAGTTGCAACAATGCAGATTTTTCTATTCCTATGGATTCCCTTCATGCATTGATGGTATGTGGAGGGAACCAAGCCAAATTGGTGTAGGAATGGCCTCCTAAGCAAGATATGGTACACCATCTTTCCTATAATCACCTGAAAATCATCCCAAGTTCTGAAAGGACTGAGCTTGACACGAACCACAATGGATCCCTAGTCATGGACAGATTAGCATTAAAATCACATACCTCCAATGGCAGGCCCGTCATTTGGCCTTCATTGATGCCCATGGATCTAAGAGTGTTGATGAGAGATGACATTAATTAAATTTCCAAGGTCAATCTAAACTCTTCTCGCTTCATAAGCATTCAGCCTCACCATGACATAAAGTGGTCTGAAGAGATAAAGGTTGCCACCATCATGTCTTCCAAGCTAATTTTACTTCCTGGGTCATTCCTAGTGGGGTAGATAACAACTTTTCCTTTTTTTACATCTGCTAGAGTCCTCAACATCAATTTCAATCCCTTCTCCCCGACTCTATCAACCTACAAGAACTTCTGCAGATGATCACTTTGAGCAAATCAAGCAGCCAACACATTAAGACCAGCTTGTTCATGTTGTACAGTCACAATCACATGAATTGACGCAGGGAAAAGTGTTGGGGTAAAGGATCAGTGTCTATAGTGCCACCTCCAGGATTCACAAAGTCCTCTACTTGCACTAACCTCCCAAATATATGCTCAAGTGATAACAGTCCATGATGTGCAGCTGCCTAGTGAAACTTGCACCAATGAGGACTGTTTCTTTCTTGCTCTGTGGGTGTTCTAAGTGGCTCATGTGAATGGATCTTTCCGTCATCTATTAACCTTTTCATAATCATCAAGATTTCAGACATACTGCATGGGTATACTAGCGGAGGAGGCCMTAGCAAGCCCATGAACTCTCGACCAAAAGGTCCTTAGCCAACAGACTTTCAGTTGACAAGTTTTTAACTTCTCTTGTCAATTACATAGGGTTCTTTCCTAGCCGAGGCAAACCACCCTTCCATTGTCCTTTGGTGGGTGGGTTAGGTCTTTCTACCAACTTATTGGTCCAATCAGCATGCTCTCAAAGTTTAGATAAGTCTTGGCTGTCTTGGTTTTCTATTACCTGGTGGTAGAAAGGATGTATACTTTTTTTTTTTTGATAATTAAAAATGATTTCATTAATCAAGAGAAATAAGATTTTACAAGAATCCCTTGGAAACGCATGATACGCAGCCTCCCCTAAACACTACAAGAGATCAGAAGTAAAATTACAATGCTGCCCAAAATAAATGGTCCCTAGTAGACCCCCGTTTAGCAAGATAATCAGCCAAGGCATTTGCCTCCCTACCCACCCACTAATATCTACATGTTATGTGCCTTGTTAAACATTTAACTTTTTTATGAGATCCCTATAACTCCAAACAACTAAGTCTAGATTTGACAGCCAGCCCACAATCTCCTTAGAATCCCCTTCAATTACTAGGTTATCCACTCCTAGTTGAGTAGCAATCTGAATTCCTTGTACTGCAACCAATATCTCAGCTCTTGTAGAGTCACCTATCCCTATCGGGCCTGAAAATAAGGATATAATGTTGTCATTCTCCTTCCTCAATACTCCTCCAATGCCAGACGGTCCTAGGTTACCCTGACTACATCCGTCAAAATTCAGTTTAAAAAATCCTTTTGGAGGAGTTACCCAAACTGTAGTGGCTCTAGTTTTTTTAACTGAAGTGTGTGCAACTATGGCCCAATTCCTCCAGATGTCATAAAATGAAAAGGAAATGAAAGAAGCCAAGGATTTCAGCCAATAGATAGCCCTGGTTAAGATACATTCCTTCACTTCTGTAAAGGACCTCTCTTTATCTTCGGAAATTCTAGTGTTTCTTTCTTCCCAAATTGTCCATAAGGTGGTTGCTCTTAAACATCTCCACATACTCCCAATGTTTTAAAATGTGGAGATGTGACACAAGGCATTCCACTACCTAGAGGCATGAGGCGCAGTTCAGAACACAAGAGGAGTAAGCCTCCCAAACATAAGGAGGCGTAAGCCTCTTTAACAGGAGCGGGGTTAGGAGGAGGAAGGGGAAGAGGATGAAGAGGAAGGGGGATCTCACTTTTTCTTTATTTTTAATAAAAATCTTTTATATTAAGAGGAATAAAGATGCATAGCATTAGTTGAAGGGGGGGGGGGGTGTCTTGTCGAAGCGGTTTATTATGCCGAAGGGGCAGGGGGCAACCCACTTTCTTTCCCCTTATCTTTTCTTCCCTTTCCTTTCCTTTTCTTTTTTTTTCTTCTCTTTCTTTTTCTTTCTTTTTCTTTCCCTTCCCTTTCCTTTCCTTTTTTTATTTTTTCTTTTTTCTTTTATTCTATCTTTTTATATAAGATGTGCATGAGGCGTATGCCTCTTGCACTTGAGGCGTATGCCTCAGAGGTGTCAACGCCTCTGGCATACGCCTCTGGGCGTTTTGGGAGTGCCTCCAGGCGTACGCCTCCCACACCTTTTAAAACACTGCATACTAATCCCTCTTTTTGTTGGGCAAGCAAAGGTAGTTGGTGAAAATAATAATTTTACCTATGTTGGTTGATTTCACCTACATCCAAGCAAAACAAACATCCAATCCCAAAGAGCTAAATCAAAGGAACAAGAAACTAGTTAATGGTAATAGTCCTCACTATGAGAATTGCATAGTACACACCAGTTTCGGGATAAATAAACGAAAAGTTTTTTTCTTTTGTAAGTTCTCCAAAGTATTAATCTTACCAAGGTACACTTCCTAGCAAAAAAAGCAATTTTGGGAGGCACAGGCTTTGTCCACACTTCTTTCACTAGGAAAGACTCAAATGAAGTACTCAAGCAAAGGGATTTGAAGAATGATGCACAAGTGAAAGAACCCTTTGGGATAGACCCTTTTATCAGAAGAGGGGTCCAAACAAACACTCTCTAGAATGGATAGAAGTTCAATAACACAAGCAAGCTCCTCCTCCCTTAAGCCCTTACAAAAACGAAAGTCCCAGTTCAAGAATAAAGGCAAAACCAGAGGGGGAAGAAAGATAGAGATAACCTCCTTTTTATAAAGGGAAAGAGCATACAGAGAAGGAAATAGGTCTTTTAGAGGTTGATTACCCACCCAAATGTCTTCCCAAAAAAGAACCAAATTTCCAGAGCAAGTGTCATACCTTACAAATTGAAGGAAATTGGGAAGGACGCCATGTATTGCCTTCCATGGTGTTGTTTGGGTAGCCCGATGAGATACCCCAGCATCGCAAATAGAGACAAAACATCCATGAATGCTAARCACAACCCTGTGCCACAAACTTTCTCTTTCCAGAGGCCATCTCCACAGCCACTTCCCCAATAAAGCTTCATTTTTTAGGACCAAATTACCTAAATCCCAGACCACCTACCTCTTTACTCCGACAAACTGTCTCCCAATTAACTAAGTAATCCTTTTACTCCTCCCCTTCTTTCCAAAGAAAATCTCTCATTAATTTTTCTAATTTCTTAGCCTCCCTACTGGGATCCTAAACATAGAGAGATAATAAACTGGTAAATTGGAAAGCGTAGCCTTAATCAAAGTTAAACCCAAACAAGTCATGGACCAAGAAGAAATAGAGCAATCCAAAGAGTTTGCAATAGACTCAACTTCATTGTCAACCAGATGACCGCTACTACATAGCTCTTTTCAAAATTGATCATTAGATTGGAAATTCTCTCAAAGCATAATATTAGTTCCTTAAGATTTCTCACTCTTCTCAACTCGCTTCCCTCACAAAAAAAAAGATAATATCATTTGTAGACTAGAGATGAGTTACAAAGACATTATTCCTTCTGATCTTACAACCATCTATTATCCCCTCCCTATCTACTTTTGATATCAATAGAGGGGAGAGGACAAAGAGAAGAACAGTCCCTGTAATAAGATGCTCTGAACATAGCAAATAACTTGATGTACAGCAATCAAATGGGGTAGACAAGCAACAAAGACAAACTGACTCACAACCTAAACCGCATGCAAGATGTTAGGATGAATCATAGTGAGATAGATGAGAGACCCCACAAGTTGTCGATAAAGGGAGGCATCAAGCAATAAAGAACCTTCTGACTTGGAAAATTTAACATTCAACTCCAATGGAGTATCAACCTATTTACCATCAGTGAGGCCGGCCAACATGACAAGATCATAGGCATACTTATGTTGGCAAATGAAATATCCCCAGTGACTCATTTGGATTTCAAGTCTTAAGAAATAGGTGACAAGACCCAAATCCTTCATGTGAAAGGAACTATGAAGAAGAGACTTAAGGTCTTGAATTCCCTCTACATCATCTCCAGTCAACAACATATCATCCACAAACAAGAGGAAAATCATAATACCCTAAGGCCTTCTTTGAACAAAGAGAGAGTCATCAGAAGCACTCCAGCTATACCCAGCATTTACAACATCCATGAATTTTTCAAACCACGCCCAAGGAGCTTGCTTCACCCCATTGAGAGATTTCTTTAACCAGCATACAAGGGAAGGATCACTATAGTACCCAAGAGGGGGTCTCATATATACGGTCTCCTTG